CAATAATATTGTTCAAGATTTTCTTTTTTTCAAACTTTTTCTCTTATTGGTAACCAGAAAAATTACTACAGTGAGAATATAGTTGATACAAGATTGCTACAGGCAGTAATATAAAGGAAGTCACATTTTTGTTGAAATGCTGTAATTCCACCATGAATGGTCCCCAGATTCTAGGGCTCTCACACAAGGTCAGATGGAAGTGCCTCTTCATCCCCAACTGCACAGTATTGACATGCCTGAAGGGAAAGCCAGTGCTGTCCTGCAAGAGCATGGTGCAGCAGGCACTGCCTGTTTGCACAGATCAGATCTGACCTGCTCACAGCAAAATCCTGAGCCCATTTCAAGCATGTGTCATGGGTAATAATGGTAGTGACTCTCTATTAGGACATACGAAGCTCTCCTGATTTGAAATTTATGACTGCTCACTGCTGAAAGAGAAGATAATCGTCAACCAGTCTGCCTCCTTACTTGTCTCTACCTATGAATTGTTAACTGTCATAAGAAATCTGTTATTGTACTGGACAATTAAAAAAACATGGTTCTGTGATAACATAAAGTTTACACTCGTAACTGAGTAGTATACTAAGCAGACAAGAATGTGAGACTGCAAATTGCCACGGTGGTCATTAAATCCAATCTTCCATGAACTTCACCATAGAAGTTAAGTAACAGCTACAAAAACCACCACCACACACACATCATGAAAGACACTGCACCCTAAGAAAAACTGAAGATCAGCAATAAAAAAGTTTGTTCATTTGGACAAAAGAACGACTGGCATTGCACTAGGCAATTCATGTATTTTTTTTTTACTTAGGCAGCTTTACCCCTCTTATGGTCTCAGACAATCACAAGGACTTTCACAAGCTTGACATTTTGTTTGATAGTAGCTGATCTCCAGTCTACCTGTGAGGTGAGCATAATGTACAGGCGACAGATAAAACCACACTTTCTGTAAACAAGTTCATGGAGCAGTAAGTCAGGAAATGGCGTACAGTGTTCACTTGAGTTCATCAGAAAAAAAGACTAAACCAAAATGCCAGCTTCCCACTGGTATCACTCAGCTGAAATAAGCATAAAAGATGCACCTCCACTGTGCTCTAGAAACTTATTCCCCAAAAGAATCATGTGTGACATGTTTGGAGGAGAATATGATCAAGATCATTGTCATTTCACACTGAAGGTAGGAAATAAAGTAATTTTAAAAATTGCAGTAAAAGTTTACAGATATTTAATATTTTTCTTTTAGGTGGTATATTTTTATAGTCAAGACATCTTTTTTAATTAAAAAGTTAATAAATCCTCCAAAAGCAAGTATACCCCCATGAATTACCAATACTGATTAATAACATACTGAAAACTTCAGCATAATATAACATCATCAACTATATCTACTTAAAGACTGTGGCACTCAAGTACCAGTAAGAGTATGAACATCTCTTTTGTTGTACCATTGCTGCAATTGGCAAACCAGTTGAAAGCACTGCAAAATTAACCCCAGATCTTTTTACTGCAAATGTTTTATCAGTCAATAAACAATTCAGGGAAATTTGGAACTAGCCATGAAGAGATTATAAAAGGAAGGTTTGTTTCCACCCCAAAAAATTAAAGCTGTATCCTAGAGGTAGGAAAACATCCTGTTTTTTAGATGAAGTTTAAGATAGAGTTTTCTACATGAATTACTGGCACTAATAACTTACATTTCCCACCCACAGCACTGAAGTACACCTATGATTTTAAAGATATCTGTCCGGACCAGGCCTGTTCTGAAAGTATCCTCATGGCATCTAGACTTCCATAAAGAATCCATTACTTTTTCTTTCAAACATCTGCATCACCTGCACAGAAGTACCATGGAAGTTTATTAGTGATGAAATTTTACTTTCTTGTGTAGATACCACTTTGAAGTTTTGGCGTTAAAAGTTACTCGGTCTTCTGAAGTCAACAGGACCTGCGAGTGTGAAGAAAAAGACCTTCTAAAAAGGCACAAATGAACCTCATGCCATCACCTTATGTCCCACAACACCCCTCTTGCCTTTATCAGGCACCTAATCAATGCATTTTTGTATCACTAGCTCAGATGCATCATTAGCTAATTCCTGTCTGACAGCAGCTCAGTTTTGTGGTGTAATCTGGTGTGTTTGTTGAGATGTGGTGTGAACAAACGTGCTATGAATTGGACAGATATAAACAGGGTAACACAAGACTCTACTAGAATAAAAACAGCAAGTGCTCTGCTTCTGTTTCAAGCATGGAGTACAGGACTGCTGAATTGATTCCTATCTGTTGCTGGCAACTACATAATATTTTTCAGGGTAAAAAATTCCATATAAAAGTGACCTTTTGCTCAGATTTTTTCTGACTGCAAGGCTGTTCCAACTTCTCATTTTTCCAGTAGTAGGAACTTTCTGCTCTCTAACATACATTATTTCTTGCCAGTTCTTATGTCAAAATAAAAGTGCTTAAACTAGGGAAAAACAAAGTAGTTTAAAAAATGTTCTAGAAGTTAAAACCTCATTTTCAAAATACTAAGGCCTAAAGCCTTAAGCATTTTTCAGTGACAATTTCCACACTCTGCCCCCCCTCCAAAAAAAAAAGACAATTAGAAATTGTCTTCAGAATTAGGAGAAGTTAGACTCATAACTGTCAGCATTAATTGCCAAGATTAATTTTGTTCTTTCTGAATACTTAACTTTGTTCTCATCAGAAAACACTTTGTCTAAGAAGAAAAATACACAGAACCATGCACATCTACCCTTGGATAAAACATATGCAGACAGCTTGAAACAACTTATGCAATCATAACTCAGTTGTTTACCAAGATCACAATGTTTGACTGTGTATTAATAAGAGTTTTGATAACTGATTTCTGAGGCATTCTAAAGAAAAGGTTTAAAAACTTGTCATTTGAGTGATTTGACTCACCAGTCTGCTTATCTTTAAAAACAATCCTTTAGTTGAAATGACTTGAAAAACTGTTAAAAACCACCAGCTGTTGGTGGTTACATATTGTTTTATCTGTCTGTCTCTTTTTATTCTCACTAGGCACTGCCCAAAACCTCTGAAACGTTTATTTCAATCAGCTTCTGTTGGTTTTGTTGTTTAGTTTTTTTTTAATGTCTGACTAGGAATTTTTACTTGGGTTATCATACATATTGCCAACATGACACAGTGAGGTATTTGTTTCACAAAGCAATTATTTTGAAAAAGAAGGTGGCTTTCAGACAGGTACGAAAGGAAAAGAAAACCAGTCCTTCACAAGCCTCAGATACAGCAATGACTCCACATGTGACACTTGTGTAATAGGTTTGTCAGAAATTAGTTACTCCATAGTGACAGGATTACCAAGGTCTCAGTATCTCAATTTCAAGGCTCAGGCTCAAGGCTCCTCTCCCTCAGACACATACAAAGAGCTTAATCACATCAGCTGGCATCTTACCCTCAACTGAGCATGAGTTGTTAGAACTGAGTACAGATATTTCAGACATTCACTGCATCTCTCCTTAGGGAAGGAGTCACATACCCAAATCAGCACCTCATGTTTTCCATGAAACCATAGCTTTTCATCTTCCCTCACAGCTCTGGAACTTGGAAAAGTTCCCTCATGAGACAGCTGCTCTTTTTCTGGCTCTCATCACTGCTGTCCCAGTAGCTCTTACACACAGCCTTGCAGCAAGGGCAGCCACTGCCCCAGGAGACTTCACTGTCCTGGCAGAAAGCTGATGTTCACCCAGCACTGTTTCTCCAGAGTCCACTTCAGTTTCTCTTAGACACCCTATCTCAGAACAACAATTTCCACTCAGGAGAGGAAAAAATTATACAGGATATACCAGTTTTCTTTAGCAAATGGGAATGGAAATGGTATTCTTCAACAAAACCTACTGTAGCTTTCAGAGCATCAGAAACCATTGAAGGTAATGTTCATGAGCATTGAACAACTGTCAGACATTCTGAATTTATCACTTGTTACCACTACTGTAAACAAATCTTTGAGTCCTGAAGATAGTTATCAACTCTGTATCCCAAGACATTCCTTCTGTTACCAAAGCAACTACAAGCCAAGAGTCAAGTTAGCTTTTTTCTTACCCCCCCCGCCATCTTTGATACAAGCCCTTTCAGTAAAAAGTCTGCTGAAGTTATTTTTTCTGAGCAAAGAAAAAGGCTGCATGGGAAATAATATGCCTGTCTTCAAAAGCAGATTTGCTGTTAGCCACCTGGTACCAAGTCTTTTTGAAACACAGAACTCTACTCAGGGCGTTTTTTTACTGAAACTTGAAGACTACATCATAAGTGTATTAGATAGGAAGAGACCCAGCTTTCAATTATTTTCCTGTCAAGTTCAGATCAAAAGTCTGAAAATTGCCTCCCTCATCCCAAGAGGTGTCATACCTGAGGCAGTTGTAACTTAGCTATCTCAGACAAAATATAATTTTTTGCTTAGACAATGGGGAGTTGTACTTACCAATGACACAATGACAGAAAAGGGAGCACCTTTAGCCTTAGTGTTAACTATGGAACAGAAAACGGTCTTAAGCTGTGTTATCTTCTGTTCCATATGACTCCTTAGAGCCCTTAGGCTCTTTTTTCACTATTCCAGGCTTGGCTTTGACTAGAAATTCCATTTTGGACCAGAGAAAACACTTCCCATCAAGTCTGGTATGTACATTCCTAAAAAGAAGGGCTGGTTTCAACCAATTAACATTCTCTAATGGAACAGCTATTTCACCATAGGATTCATTATCAGTTCTAATTTGACTTTTAAGTAATTATTAGAGCAGCATGACAGCAATTACATTAGCTGTGAAAAGATGGCAATAAATTAGAGACTGATACAGCAAAAGCTGACAAGAGCTGGCAGGGCTTGAAAGTTTCTGCTTCATGTTGCATTTCCCAGAAGACACTGACTTGGAAGAAAGGGCTGCTCTTACACCAGCCCCCACTCTGTTTCTTGTACAGCCCTTAAGTGGGACAAAAGGAAGAATTATTTTCAGACAACAGAGTATAATTTCAGAGACCTTTTCCTCATGCTTTATTTTAGGCTAAGGCACCTTAGGAGACAATTTTTTCACAGAAAAGCTATACTGGATTTCTAAAACAGTCAAGTCCAGAAGTTCACAGAGCATATGCAGTTTCGTTGTTAGACTGAAGACGTTTCTTTTCTTTATATTCTCTATCGTGCAAGCAGTTATCCTCAAATCCAAGTCAATGCCCTACTTGAGTCAAGCATGAAAAATGTGGCAGGACTAAACATTACACTTATTCAGCAAGTCTTTGGGCAACTGTCACACAAGAAGCTCCACAGCCTATGTTTACTCTTTCTACTGCTGAAAAAGCTCAGGCTCAACCCACGTCAGAGCCTGATTTAAGAATCACACTAATAATCACAAGACTAAACTAGTTAAGCATTTTCTTAACCCTAAATTAGCAGAACAATGAGTTTTCAAAATACTATTTTTCCATACCAAATCTGATTAAAACAGTCTAAAAGCAAGTTGTGGCTCTTACAAAAGAAACAGAGATACTAAAAAATAATCTAATAAAGCCCTATCAACCGTTCTCTGCCTACTATCTGCTAAATCAAATCAGAACTAAGAAACCCTAAGTTCTTAAAGAATCAAAACTTTTATCATTCACCTTGTAACAAGTTACAGGTGTATAGTGAACAGGAACTGAGAAGGGAATGATTGCCAGATCTGTATCATTTCCCCCATTAGCAGAGCTTGAAGAAACTTTTTTTTTTATCCACCTAAACCACCTCAGATGCACCTAGCTCCTTTAAGAACTTAATTCTAAAAGAAACATTTAATCTTTTTTTTAAAAAAGAGGGGGTGGGGAACTGATAAAAGCAACTGGTATATCAGAGACCAAGGAAAAAAAAATCAAGTCTGAAGTTCTGCTGTATCTAAAAAGTACATAGATAAGTAGTTTTTTGAAGTCATTCCTTCATTTTTTTGTTATTATGTGTCTTGCAGGAATTCTAATTTTATGTTATAAACAAGGATTCCTAATTGCAGACTTTCTAATTGCTGTTCCACATTTTAAAAATTGCTTTCTCAGATCTTTTGTAGAAGAAATAGACCACACACTGTAGAAATGTGCCTTCACACAAAAAACCAGCATAAACATTCTGAGAATATGTGGTTGTTTTTTCTTCTTTCCGGCAAAACTAGGTAAGTACTCCTGTATGAAACAGGCTTGTTTTCTTTAAAAATAAAGCTATGAAAATCTCAAAAAAATTTGAATGGAATAGGTGATCTACAAGAGATCACATGCATAGAGGCACACTTTTCTGGATGGATAATGCAGCTTACAGAAAGAAACTGGAGAGGCTCAAGACATAAATCAGTCAAATGAGAACTGAGGTATAATATACCTCCACAGAAATAGGCAAACCAAGGTCAGCAGCCCAGAAGTTAAACCGAGATTTTCAAATGGTAGGTTAATTTTAAAATTCAGGGCTATTTAACCTATGAGAGAACAGTAGCTAATGAAAAATTACCTCAGACATTTATTCATATGGCTTTAAAACCATCAAGCCTAGTTCCATCACAAATTAAGCTGAAGAGCTATGGGCTCTTGTTACATTGGTGGTCAGGGAGTGGTCCAAAGATAATTTACTACTAGCATTTTACTTACACAAGGGTGAAGACAAAACAAGGGAGATGTTGAATGCTTTGAAGTTTTACTGGAAGATTAATCTTTTATGTTGCTTTTTAACTAATAGGATTATTTTGGTCTGTAGCTGGTGGTGACCTCACATTTTGCACCAAACTTTAGTTGGTAAACAACCACAAAAAATTATATAATGATAAACAGATTCAAATGCCAGAAATGACAAAAGAAACTGGGGCCTGCTCCAAAGTAGGCATTATTAGAGGCATTATGGCCTAAAATAAATTTATTCGCATCACTGTAGAGCACAGCAGGGTTCAGTATCAATCTGATTTCACTTTTTAAAGCTTTCTTCCTACCAAATGTAACAAGCTTTAAGAAATCCTACAATGTGTATTTATTTACTTTGAAAAGTGAAAAACTGGAAGCTAAACCATATTACTAATTCACAGAATTATGTCAGAATGTAATCAGAAACTAAACTGAGACACTTCAAAATCATTAAATATTGTTTTCAGTTCATGCACCTTTAGTTTCAAACAATGGACACAAAAATATTTTCCCATGGCTCTAGCACTTCCTCCTTTAATCTGCAGATAGCATCCATCTTCTGTGAAAGTGTCATCTGAGCACATATGCTAAGGTCTGCATTAAGAAAGTCTGTCAATATAGACTTTTCAACTAATCAAAACTCCTTGAAACGTGAAATATAGTAGCAACTCTGGAACTTGGCCAGGTCAAGCATCTGCAACTACTAAACACAACCTACTTTCAATATCAAGTCCTTAAGCTGTTTCCTGAAACAGGATGCATTTGTATACATAGTGATTGTATATTTATTTTACTACAAAAATGGCTACCAGAAAAAAAAAGTCCCACCCTTCCATACTTTGGGCAAGTCCACATGTATTTCTTTCAGAGACTTAGTGACATGATAGGAATAACTAAAAAAACAAAAATACACAAAATGTAAAGTCAGGACAGAATTTTATCTCTAAGTGTAAATAATTCAAAGAATCACTATTTTCACGTTTTCTTACCAGATGTTTGCAGTTCTACCTTAGAACAAATATGCAACAAAATGGCTGCTTCTTTTCCTGGATGATACACTACAGGCACTAAACACAAAACTGCCATTGTAATTTTGCAGTACAGCAAAAACTCTTCATAATTTCTGGCTTAAAATGGAATAAGTGGAACCAGTTTGGTCTGGTAAAACAGCAACCCATTCCACAGCCAAAGAATAGTCTGATCTGTCTCTCAATTTGCTGAGAAATAAACTATGAATTTGTGGTATACTACCAATTTGAATGGAAGTAAATGTAAATGTAAACAATGTAAACAATTGTTTCAATGGGCTTGCTTGTCTTCAGAGAAAGAAGAATCACAGGGCTACAGCTCTAATATAAGTTCTGTTCATGAATTCCTTAAGATTGTGTGGATGGTGGGAAAAGGGAAGATGGCTTTTAACTCAAAAGCAGTTCTCTATTAAGAAGTTTAGACTGAGTTTTCAGCTAACAATAAATAGTATTAACTGCAGAGGACTGGCACCCATCAACATATAGGACTACCCTTAAAAATAATTTCCTAAAACTATTATACCCAGACTAAGAGTTTCAGTGGTTTTATTTTTAGAGTTCCACTGTTATGTCACTTTCCATATTTCAGAAGTCTTCCACAGCTCCTGTTATCCACCTTGCACCACATTTAAAAAAGGAATCCTTATTTACACACAGAAACCACACCATCAAACACTGGTTTGAAACAATTCCCTCACAGGTTATGTCTGAATCTGAAAACAATTTCTGCTTCCTCAGCCTAAGATTTATTGCCTAGTGAAGAAACAAAACTCTTTGTGGCTCTCAATACTTTTAGCAGATCTAATAACTGAAGAAGTAATTTTGACTTTTACAGTTGCCATTATTTTAGGATGAAATCTGATTTATAATTTCATAACTTTAATTTCTGTATCACATCTTATGTGTATTTTTAAAGAGGTACCTAAACAGAAAAATACCAGATTATGACATTAACTAAAGTGTTTGTTGTCAAAAGAGTCCTCATGGAAACTAGGGTCCAGCTTTTGTAAGCCTTTTCATACACTTTCTCAGAACTGGCTGCTAAAAAATGCCAATTTAGCAAAATACAGTCAATGATACCTTGTTAGGCTTTAGGACAATCTCACAAGGTAACAGGATTCAAAAAGGTAACTTAAGTGTGTGACTGAGAGTCACCATTTCTCTTGCATCTACTATCATGTTTGGGAAAAACTTAAAGGATCTGATTTCTGAAAGACTGCTTCAAGTGTTTCACAGAAATATTTAAGTGGTTAGACTCATAACACCACAAAAAGCCCTAAGAAATGATGCTGACCCCATTCCCTTGACACATTCTAGGAAGAATGGCAACTTCCTAAGAAGATCAAGCACAGTTTTGATAGGTCTTGCCTGAAGAAGTTTACACTTGTTTTTCAATAGTCTTTTCAAGCACTTGAACAGAAATAGTCTGACACGAATTTCTCCCTCTTAGTTTATTATTTTTTCATAAACACTCCACTAAGCTACCAGTCTGCCTTAATATACAGACTAAGCAGCTTTGGGGAGCCAAATTAGTTTCTTATACTGCTGGAGGTTTGCGATGTAACTTGCAAAAACCAGTCTGCTTCAACACACATTATAGAACAGATATCAAGTAGTATGCTCAGCAGAGCTACATACTTTATGTGTATACTACTGAAAACTTATAATTACATGTCATGGAACATCTGCACACAGTATTTAGGAAGGGAGCGCCTTCAATGTCATTTCAGCATGACATGGAAAGGAAACTGTGGAATGAAGTCACTGTCATCAATCCTCTTCAGAGCTAGACTCATCCTCCTGGTCAGAGAGCTCAGCCACAGGAAAGCGCAGGATGGCTGCCACCCCTGTCAGCTGGCCAAGCTGCTCTCCAGACACATGAAGGCTGGAGAAAATGCGCACTGTGCCCGTGTTCTCCCGCACACTGTCTACCAACTTAACATATCGGGCACGCGTAGCCACATCCTGGTGCCGAAAAAGCTCATCACTGATCAGCAGGGTATCAATGGCCATGGCTTCATTGGCCTTTTCCACATGTTTCAGGCCATAAAAAGCCCGGTCAGGCTCATGCTGCAGCATTTTATAGAAGTCATCTAGGGCTTTGACCTCACCAGCTGCCTTAGTGTCAGAAAGGCGGCTGGTTACGGCTGGGTCGCAGAGTGCTTCCTTCAAAGCGTATTTATGTCCTGAGGAAGAGTGGACCTAGAGCGAAAACAAAGTCAGAGGTTTGGTGTTTTCAAAGAAAAAGGACCATTTTTTTGATTAGCCAATCACAAATATCTTCCACTATACATAACAATAACCTTGACAGTTATTTGAGGAAGTTACCTCCTTCTTGAAACATACAAGATTCTTTTCTTAAGGGATCTCTCCTGCAACCCAGAACCTACACCAAATCCCTTAAACTGCACTTCAAGAAGCACAAAAGAAAACTGTTTCACTTAGTCAAAGACTGCATTAAATATGCCCACCCCAAGGGAGGGCTACTTGAAACTAAGAAACTAAGATCTAAGCCTCTCCGTTTTAAAGCATTCCAGAAAAGGCCTCTTAAGACTGCAGGGATGTAGTGCAAAGGCACTGAGTCTTGCACAGTTGCACAGCTATTATGCTTGCAAAATTGTGAAGTACATTGAAACTTCTCACACATATTATTACTTCCATACTACAAATGCAAAAGGAGGTTCCTTGGTGTGCTGGTCTTCTAACGCTGGGACCATTAAGTATTGGGACACACTTCACTCACCCTGCCCCCAGCCCTCTGCAAGCATAGATTACAGGCCTACTCCAACTTAAAAATTATACAAGTACCCTTATGAAAACTCATTTTAAGCTCTGAATTTGCCCACTTCATTAAAGGCTAAACCCCCCACCCACTCAATGAGATGATGAAGAAACGGGAAAAAATGCCATGATCTGCATAACCTTCAATACAAGACTAACAACAAAGTTAATTAACCTATACCACATCCAGGTACTTTTTAAAAAACATCTCTACAAAGCTGTTATGAAACGTGCACACTATACAGCATGACAGAGTAACAGCAGAGTTAAAGTATTTTCCAATTTGTACTTCACACTTTACATTATTTATATTCATATAAATATGCCTTTATAGGGAGTTCTATATATTTAATACTTTCTCTACTCCACATTAAGGTATCCTGGGAGGGAACCATCCCTGTATCACACATAACTACCTTACAATTTGAGAGGCATGAGAATAATTTTCTTATGATGCTCAGTCAGAAATTTATTTTGTCTAGTAAGAGCCTTATTTCCCATGTGACTACCTTTTACTATCACAGACAGACAACTCTCATGTCCGTTTTCACCCACTCTGGAAACTGTTTAGCATCTTACCTGTAGGAACTTGGACCTGTTCTCCAGCAGAAGTTTATTGTCAGTCTTGACTGCCTGCTGGAACATGTAGTCACAGAACTGTTCCCGCACGAAGCCCGGGCTTGCGACCAGGACGCACTTCACCACCTCGAAGTTGACGTGCCGCTGGATGGCCTGCATCACCTGCTCGTAGAACCTCTCCAGAGCGCGGTCGTGCTGGCTGCAGTTCCCTTTCCTCTTCCGGGGGATGTTCACCTCCACCTTGGCGCGGGTAAGCGTCATGCTGGGGGTGACCAGGCAGACGTGGGCCAGCCCCTCCTGCATGACCACGGCGGCCACGTCGGCGCTCCAGGCCGGGTCGCAGGCCTGCTCGATGCGCTCCAGCACCACGCTGTCCCACTGCTTCTTGGCCAGCGTGAACTGCCGGTTGGGCTCCAGTTCGATAGTGTGGTAGGCGCCCATCTTGACGTACTCATTCTCCTGGATGTTGGTGCCCTTGACGCGCAGCTGGCAGGCCTGCGAGTCGAAATCAATGGCCTCCACGCAGAGGGTGAGCGTGGTGCGGACGCGGTTGCTGCCCACGCTGCCCGTAGCCGACTCAGTCTGCACCTTGCGGATGGTGGAGGCGCGCAGGCTGTCCCCGACCTGCAGCAGGTTGTACGTGTGCCACATGTCCTCGGGCTCCTCGGGGATCAGCGTCACCTGCCCCGCGTTGTCCTTCTCCAGGTCCTTCCTCACCAGCCTCATCCTGACGGTCCTTGTGCCCCGGAGGGGGATCCCCTCGCTGTCCCGGACTCAGGCGCGGCCCCGCCGGGGCTCTTACGGCCGCTCCGCGCTCCCGCCGCCAGACCCTCGCCCTACCCTGCACAGCGCGCACGCGCGGCGCCCGCCGCCTGCCCCCCCATGGCGCATGCGCTCCCTTGCAAAGGCGCCGCCGCGGCGTGCGCTTCCCCACCTCCTGCTCGGCCCCGGCGGGCCGGGTGCATGCGCAGGAGCGGCGGGAAGGCGCGTAACCTGCGGGTGGACGGCGGGGCTCCGTCCTGAGGGAGGAAAAGTCCCAGAGGGGAGCGGGGAAAGGGACTGGGAGGCAGCCGAGGTGCTGCGAGGGCTGGAAGCTGGGGTGTGTCCCCGCTGCTGCCTCGCGGGGAGCACGGCGGGAGGGAGTCGCGACGGCGCTGGTCCGTCACTTCCAGCGCTTCACAGCGGCACCTCAGACTCCCGAAGGCTCCTAACGGGGCCCTTCACGTTTCAGAAGAGGAGAAAAAAAACTTAAAACCGGCAAAACCAAGCAGATGTGGAAAGTTGCGGGTACAGATGAAGAAAGGGACAAGCGGCATGGCGATGGCCGATCCCCTGGGCCGGGTCAGCGGGTGCCGAAGTGCCCCGGAGACCTCAGTGCCGCCTCCAGCAGCTGCTGGTGCCGGGCTAGGGCGGCCGTCACACAGCGAAATGAGAACCGGGCACAGGAAACATCTAAACCTGAACTGTTACTTGGACGCTGCTCTTAAACTGAACTCCAGCTTTAAAAGTTTTTGGTTACATTTGCACGAGTCTTGACGGCTTCCTGCATCTCAGAGCAAGACAGCTTTGAGGTGCTTCAGAGGCAGATGGGCACTTTTCAAATGAAGCTTGATGTCCACAAATATAAGTAATATGCATTGAAAAAACACAGTTCAACTAGTTCAATGCTACTTGCAAAGAAACTGGACCTGAACAATCACTACGCAATTCATTTGCAGCCCAGACAAATTTAACAAGCCAGAAATAATAAAAAAATTGTTTCATTATACATTAATATTGGAGAAGAAAAGGTGATGTGATGACGTCAAAGCAGCCTTCTAGTATCTGAAGAGGGCCTACAGGGAAGCCAGGGAGGGACTTTCCATCAGGACCTGTAGTGGCTGGACAAGGGGGAATGGGTACACATGAAAGAGGGGAAATTTGGCTTAGATAATTATGGAGAAATTTTTTACTATGAAGGTGGTGAGATACTGGAACAGGTTGCCCCAACCCTGGCAGTATTCAAGGCCAGGCTGGATAAAACGTTGAGGTGTCCTGGACATGGTGGGGGGGGTTGGGACTAGATGATCTTTAAGGTCTATTCGAACCCATTAAAATTCTGTGATTCTAAGTTCTGTAGCTTATTTTTGAAACAGCATATGACACTAAAAATTCCATTTCAGAATGAATGTTGCAAATTTAGAAAGAATAAGTAAAAGAATGAAGAACAGAAAAGACAGTGCTTGCATGAAGAATGATTAAAAAAAAAGAAAAATTGTGAAAGTAGGCAAACTAATGTGCCCTGATAAGTATGTCTGGGCATCTGGAACAGGTACGTTAAGTTTAGAATGACTACACAATTTGGTAACAGAAAATTATGAGGATGTCCTCCTACAGATGAGAAGGTGGCAAATTTAGAATGGCTAAAAGGAAGTTTCTGGTTTCCATTATCTGTTTTTTTGGAAAAAAAAACAAAAACAACCCACTGTGGATTATGGAATTTGCTGACTTAGAAAGGCTTTGGAGTCAAGGATTTAATGAGATAGAAGGCTACTGTGAGCAAAAATGATCCCATATCTCCCATTATGGTGTGCATATAAATTTCCCTGAAGTATCTAGCACTAGTCAGTTGTAACAGGACAGTGAACTCAAATCTGGCCCAGTAATGTGTGTTCCTTGTCTCTAAGTTTGATACTGGTGTAAAAACAACTTTATCAGATATTACATAATAGAATTTATTTATCAGACCTCACAGTCTCTTCCTGTGAGTACACGTGCTTAACTCTATTAGCATGAATAGTTTCACAGATGGAAGCTGGACCACCCAAGGGAATATAACATAAGCACATGTATAAATAACTGTTTGTTTAACTTGAGCTTGTTCATACTAATAATTTTGCATTAATGTTTTAATGCAAAAACAGAGACAGAGACCCACTGCATTCAGCTTTTCCTAAGGAGTTCCTTTCACATATCTATGTAAATGCCACATGGTAAATTTATGGCAAAATTTCTTCTTTACATTCTTTGCAATTATAAAATCACAAGTGTTGACCTCATGCTGTTCTTTCAAGGAAAAACAATTGTAGTGCGTATTTACCTTCCACATTAATATTTATTTTACTTTTTATTCTTTTACTGCTTTATATGTACAAACTTTTCTCTGCTTATGGTTCCAGTCAGATTTTTACCAACAGCCTCACATCTTTGGAGATGCGATATAGTTTAGATAAAAGTTGCAAGTTGGCATCCAGTACCATTTAGCAGAAAATAAACGTTTATTTCATGAAATCAGATTACTTGCTGCATTAAAAAAACCCACAGCAACACAAACAAACAAACAAAAACCAACCCAAAGAAAATAGCAACTCTGAAATAAAGTTGTCACTCAAAATATTAAATTGACTGTTGTAGAGACATTTTGAGATGGGCCCTTTCTCAAATAACAGATTCTAATATTTATACAGTTATGAACAGTGATCCACAAATACTTGGTGGCAACTGTAAACTTCGGTGATATGTCCACAATCAGCAAGACCATTGTAAACTTACAGAGGAAGATATTTAGTAGTGATGATGCTTTGCCTACTCCTGTAAGAAGTACTGGGTACTGCTATTTGTTTATGTCAAAGAATGAGCAGTAGAATAAAAATATTTCCAAAAATTTAGAGACCATATCACTGTAATTTTTTAGGTTCATACTAATTTTGCTAGTGTCAGGGAGAGAGATGCATTTGATGTTGGTAGAGCCAAAACAAGTGGGTACTTTTAACTCTACGAATGATTTTAACGTAGAAGTTCAAAACTGCATAGCCTGTTCCCATCTTGATAGAAGATTGAAACTATGAATAGAACCTAACAGTTTGCAATGTATTACTTTTTAAAAACAATTTTATAGGTACTAATAGTTGCAGCAATTTGGCATCCATTTTCAGACCTTCTTAGGCATAGTGCAAGATAAGATTAAACTGGTGATAGCATATCTTCACAAGGATTTTGGAGCCATGCTGGTTTTCTAAGATTATTTTGAAAGCATCTGAGACACACTGTCCTATGTCTTCAAATCTTGATCAACTATTTTATGAAGATGGGTTATATACAGATTTTAGACAAGGATAGGTCATGTCCATAGGAACCCCTCTCCCCTATATTACAGCCACTTTAGCTAGACTTCAAGCAAACACGCACAAGTTCTGGACAAGAAAAGCTAGTGGGAAAGAATCTCAGATATAGGGGGAAATCTGCTGGGAAACGTTGGATGTTATTGTTCCAAGACCAAAGGAAAATAAAAGATAGAGAAGGAAACTGGGGAAACATTTATTTGATGCTTTCCCTTTATCCTGTGTCTGTCCTGACTGTGCAGACTCTGAACAGAGACCACTTCAATTTCTGCACACAGTTCTGTCTGTATCTATTTATCTTTTCTATTATAAATACAACATTACCATCACCAATAAGAAGTCCAGGAGGAAACTGGCTTTCCATAAAACTGTAAGTGAAGAAGCATTAAGAAGTAGTGGAACCCTTCAGACTAACTACTTCCTTCCTTGTCTGTTGAAATGTAGGGCTGGAGAAAACTTCAGCAGATCCCTAGTCACTTCTCTCAGGCCAGGTAAAGTATTTATAAAGTATATCAGCCATTCTTTACGGCTGTTCCACCAACTTCATCAGAAGTCTCAGTGAAGGAGATTATGCAGGGGGGGATTTTTGGTAGCCTGTCCTAGCAATTCATAACCCGAAGAGTAAGAAAGTTCTTCTGAATATTCCCTAAGGTTTTTGCATAGTGAGTTATGTTGATTTTGTTTTGTCCTTTGTTGGGCATGGAGAACCAACTATTCATCAATATCTTTGTAAACTAACATATGCGCTATAGAAAGGCATGATTGAGCACTCTCACAAAACCAAAACACTGACATTTAGAAGAATATTCTTAGTATAATACTTTGATAAAAAGATATATTTGAAATGCTCAACACTTTACCCTTAGTTTTCTTGCTATTAGATAAACAAGCCTAACCCATTTAGTCTTTCTTCATAGATCATTTTCCTCAGCCCTTATCAGGCTTGTCACTTCTCTGTGCACTTCTGTCTGCATCTGTTAGACTTCCTGTACTCAAGATTCTCAGAGCCCTCATCAAAACCAAGCTGACTTAAAAAAGAATAAAAATCTGTATCAATACACAAATGTGTATCATACATCTCTACGAACCTCCTTTATTCTAGATTGTTTTTGTTTGCTAGGGCCTGCCAGATTATTGGCCTATTTTTTTTTTGCTTTTTAAGGAAGAGTAGCATGTAATTAATGTTTTAATTCCGCTGTAATTCTAAAACTCCTTGTCCACATTTTTATGACATTTTGACTTGTTTGTGTAGGACTATGTCTCTTATTTATTTGAGCCAATTTGAATCCCATTCCTGGTATCTGTAATGCCTCCTTTTATTTCTAAGTGTATTGTATTTCACACTAACTTTTTAAAAAAGGAAAAAGCCCTACCACCGCCAAAAAGTAATCACCTAACAGATTTGGATGAGACCTACTTCTGAAATGTCTTGCTATCTGACAAGTAAACCTTTTTGTCATTACTGGTGAATTATATGTCAGCAGTACCAGTGGCAACTTAGCAGCTCTGAAGGGAAATTGTGGCACACAAAATTGTTGCCATTTTACAAAGCCTCCTTCTGTGAAGGAACACAAACAAAAGCACATTTTGAAGTATATCACTGTGTAATAATAATAAAGACAGCTATGAACAGTGGCTAAACATAGCACACCAAAATGCTACATTCAGATTTTCGCATTTTCCTGTGTCTGTTCGTTCTTGCACAATAAGCACAAAGGGAAGAGGTGAAAACTCTTGTTTTGCCTTTTCCCCACTTACTGCTGCCTGCATGTGGACAATTCTTATGAAATTGATTTCTTCCTCTGTACTGCTTCAGGTTCACTGTGTGCTACTTGCCAGCGCGAGAGCTGCTGGGGAGTTCAGTGTCCAAGTTTGCAAGCACAAAAATCCCAGCATTGCCTTAGCCTCTTTCCCACTTCTTGGATTCCCCTGTTTTCATATCCAAAATGTTTCTACAGACTGACTAGCTAGGCAGATTGCTACTTGCTGTATTCATTTTTCTAAAAGAAGTTAATTCCTTAACAATAAACCCCTAAAAGGAAATAGTACATAGTTCATGTCTGGATGGACTCATCTTTCTGAAGTGAGTTGAGTGTAATTAACTGCTTCTTCACTTCCCCTTTTACTACTCAGAAGTCTGAGAGCCAAACAGAGAAAAACAGAAAGTCTACCCTAATTAAAAACAAACCAAACCCAAACAATACAACAACAAACAAAAAACCCCCAAACCAAACCAAACCAACAACAAAAAACTCAAAACCAAACCCAAACAAACTTGTTGGTTTTTTTGTTTTGGTGTTTTGTTTTTTTTTTTCCCCAAGCCAGATTCAATTACACCATATGTTCTCAGCCATTCATCCTCATTTAGCAGCCTTCTCTTACCCCCCGGATTCTAAAATTGGTTTAGGGATTAAAGTTCCCAGAGAGAAGCAAACCGAAGAAGTCCCTCACGACCTGTGGCTGGCGGGCAGCTCCGGGAAGGGCATTCCTGGGGCAGAGATCGGGGACAGGGGACGCCGTTTCGCCGGTGCCAGCACCCACTGAGTACTTCCCTGGCAGCAAGGCTGCTTACGGGACCTGGGTCTTCAAAGAAAGGCAGAAAAGGGGCTTTGTTTACCTGTCAGCATCCAGTAGGAGGCGGCCATGCCAGGGCTCCTGCGAGCCCGGGGCTGGGAGCCCGGGTGGAGAGTCGCGGTGGCGGGAGCGGTCCTGCCGCCGGTGGAGCTGCGCTGCCGAAGGAGCTCAGTGCTCTGCACCGCCCGTCCGCCTCGCCGCCGAGTTAGGCATTTCCTGTTTGTTATTCGGTCTTTACGTTTGTTTCTTCGCATCAAGAAGAATTTAGCTTCCTGCCTGCACACAACTTTCCTCCCACCCACCCCCCAAAGACCTCTGAGCTTTGGAAACCTCCCCGAAAAAGTAGCCCGGCTCTAGGATGTACAAATAAAGCCAAATCTACCCCACTAAGCCTCCGGATGCAGCTCTTGGAGAGCACAGCAGACCTTAAAGGGACATCTTCACGTTCATAATTAATAAGTGTCTCCCGCCGGCCAGCCCCCCCTCCCAGCAGGACAGGAGTGAGCTGGGTGTGCTACACAGCCGTCGTCAACAGGAGAAACGCGTCGTTGAGGTAGAGAGTGTGTTTGGCTGCTCAAGTTTAATTTCTCTGACATCACCCCTTAAAAACGCACTCTACGGCCGGTCATTTGCCTGCAAGAGGAAGCCAGCCGTCCCCTCCCCATTCTCGGCGGCGCTGGGGATACAGTAACTCTTCAGACAGTGGACGGTTTTCTCGAGTCTTTTCATCCTCCTGTGCTTTGCTGCCTAGAAGAAATACCAGACAGATGTCTTTGCCCTCGTCTGTCGAACGTTTGCATGGCATCCCTGCCCCCAGAATGACTTCATCAATAAATAAGTGAATAAATCGCAAAGGTAGCAATCAGCCAGATTCAGGGCAGTGAGTAGGGATTTTCAGAATTTGTTGAACACTCAGGAAAAGAGCAATTTTGCAGGACTTTTTGAGTTTACCAGAATGATGCTCAGGAGGAGTGACGTCCCTTCAGCAGTGTGAGTTCTCGCACTGGAGCTTGTGAAAAATCATGTTGTTGTTGATAAAACAAGAGAACCCATGGCCCCTCAAGTAAGAAAAAGAAAAAACAAAATATAAGGATTTGGAGATCTTGGTATGTCTAGAAAAATCCTCTCTTTTCCTTGACGTGGAGCAAAGCATTTGGTGACTAAGTGGAAGTTGGTGGAATTTTGGCAAGCTCCTCTGAGGCTAATAAACTACAGCTTTTAATCATCACTATAAGAGCTGAATGCGTCTTCCAGCTTCTGTCTTAATTTCATGAGAACACTTTGGGTACACTTGTAGATCTGTGGAACTTTTAGAAAACAGTGCACAATTCAAAACTGGTTTTAAGAGCAAAGATTCTCAGTGGAACTACTCAAAATTGAAAATATTAAGCACATGTGTAACTTTTGCTGAATGAGAATCTGAGCTCTGTTGATACCAGTTAAAAAGACTAGGAACATTTATCCAGTCAGAGGTTTTATGCCTAAGATTAAAGAAAACAAAAATGGCATCCAAACTAAAAGAAGACTGAGAATATGGAAAAAAGCTGTAATTTCATTTTTCCTAGCAAGTTATATTACTGCTACTCTTATCACAAAACAGGGTTTGTAGCCCGGTCTGCTATAGCCAATTACACGCAGAGTTGATATTGTAGTTTATTATGGAGTTATAAATCTGGCTGTTGGGTGGTAATCCACAAGAACTAGCACACTCTGGGTTAGAAAACTGGGTGAGTTTTATACACTTTTAATTAATACATTCTGCCTATCTAATACAGATGGATTGCTGCATTTTCTCTTCAAAAAACCCCAAATCTTTGTATTCCTTTTCTGTTCCTATACTTCAACTAAATGTACATGGGAGAGTTGAGCTTGCTTTCAAATCATAGTGAAGGATTTCTTTTTGTAATAAAATTAACTTGGTCAGAGAAAGAGATGGGGAACTAAGGACTTTCTCATGGACTAAAATAAGTCAAACCTCTTTGAGGTTTATGTGGTATTTGCTACCTGTGTGGGAATGTATCTCATGCTGGAGAATAAGACTTCTTTAGAATAAAATGAAACACCTCCAAGGAAGAGTTAGTAATAATTTTTATTAAATTATTCTTACTATTATGATTTATTAATTTCTTTTTGTGGTGCTGTTCTATGCATCTTGCATCAGGCAACGTCAAATGGAAAACATTAGAAAAGATGAATTGCCAGACTGAACTAGCATTTCTTATTAATTTGCACACATGCAAAAAAGTAAAATATATTACAGACTTACAGACTACTACTTATCTTGAAATGTCAAACTAATTCAGAAAAAAACCAACTCCTTTTCGCAGTCTTTGTTGCTTTGTGTGTATTAATTCAAGCAATTGCTCATAACGTGTCGCTAAATGCTCTTCTTCGGGTTTAAAGTTTCATACATCAGTAGTAAGGAGCGCATCCACTTTAAGCAGGACTCCCTAGATGAAGCGCACTTGGGCCAGAAGTAGTTAAGATATTAAGTAATTTTAATATGAGAAAAACAAATATTATTAATTTCAGTAGATTGTAATAGTATGCCAAATCATTACCTACAGTGATGGATAAAACAAAATGGTCAAATTAGTTTAAAGAATATGGTTGGTTTGCATATTTTATATCTTTATAATATGTCACAAAATGCTGAGGAAGGATTTTTTTTCTAGTGAAATGAATTAAATAAATAATGAAATAAATAAATGAAACATGATTTATGATTTTGAACTCTACCTCCCAACTCAGTTTCCCCAAAGTAATGTAGAATATGCATTATAGAATAAGTACACTAGTAGTTCCATGGAATCCTGTAGAAGTATTTTCTATTTAAAGTAAAGTATATTGTCATTTAAAGTCTTTGAAAGACTAGACTTTGAAAAGATAATAAAAATTAAAAGTATTAGAAAGACCCAATTCTTCTCCCTCCAAGAAGGCGTTATTCCTGAAAAAAAACACCAGCGGAAATTCATTCTGTCCCAAAGGTGAGAGGTGAAGGAATGGGAACCAAAGTTTTTCAAATAGTTTCAAAGGCAGGCAGTCTTCTAAATAGTGTGAGCATAATTTACGTAGAACTCATTTTCTGTGGAATTTTTTCTTTCATTTTTAAAGAGGATATGAACAATTTTAATTTATTTTCGTTAGGTACAAAGGATCTCTAACCTCTAGCACAATAGAACAATGTGTAATGCAAGACTGACTTTAAATAGCTGAAAGCATGTCTAACTTAATTCCATTAAAGGAATAGTACAACATCAATAATTGTAAGAGAGACGTAACATGTTTCTACAATGTTCACTGTTGTTATTACTTTGTATTATGCCCTGTATGAAAAATACTACAGTGTGTTCCTATAGGTAAGTGAAGATTTATCATTGACAGCTCTTATTATAGTTTTTGATGGTTTACATTGCACTGTTGATTAGTGGTAATTTACAGTTATGTTTTTTTCTTACACTTGCTTATTCACAGTTTCCAAGATGTCTTTCACCTTGATGATTCTGTTGTTCATTTTCATAGTCTCCATTTTTTCCTATCTGATTCTAGGACCATACTAGAGTTCACTTGGCAGAAGCTGTGGGGCTATAGTTTTTATTATTATGTCTGAAATACTCAAGGGCTCCTTCTTTAAGTACCACAACTAAGACCTTGCAGAACTTGGTATAGATCCAGCAATACTCAGTGCATAAATCTTTTCATGTTTTACAGCCCAGCTTTTAACTGATACTTGATATTCTTGGAGAATGTCCATGTTTCTGCTCCATCTGCAATAACCAGTGGTACAAATGTGCCAAAAATCCTTTTTGCTGCACAATACGATCTTCATAAAAATTTTGTTTTCCAGTTTGTGATAGTTTAATTAATGTTTGTAGGAAATGTTATGGAAAATGCCCTTTACATTCTGTGTTAAATTTATTCTCTACAGTATCTTTATTTCTTCTTTGTTGTCCTTTTTTGGATTATGTACCAAATGCCATAGTATAGTTGTGAACCAAAGTAATATACAGCCTGAATTCTTACTGAAATAAAATTTCTGGTTTTCCTCCTTAACAGATTTAGTATCTCACATCCTCAGCCATGCTGCTTTTCTTTATGCTTTTTCTCTAGTTGCAATTTTTTTTAATATTCATCTCAAATTTGTAGAGATCAAAACTAGTTGTATCACAAAAATACAGGAAGACCAGAAAGAGATGAGTTTGTATGGCATTGTTTACTGTTATACACCTACCACCAATCTCTTTAGTTGTTGATTGTTGCTTTATACTCATGGAGAAGGATTTTTATATCAGAACAGAATTTAAGATTCTTGGAGATGGGATCTCTATGCTTTTCTTATTTTTTATGTTATTTCTATTTCCTTTGAGTCAGATTCTTACAGATAAAGTCCTGATTAAGTTTTCTGCAACATGGAGATTTTCTTCTTGCTTATTTACTCACATGTGTACGTACCTATTTACAAATTATCTTTGCGGTCTATAGTATATTACCAAACTTTAACATGAATGTATAGTTCTTCACAGTTTGCACTACAAATAAGGCTAGAAAAACACAATGCATTCAATATGAATTAGGTACTGATTTCTCTGGCCTGAATATTTCAGATTTTTTTTGTGCTGAAGCACTGTTTCTGCAGCACTGAAGTCATTGGAGCTGTGGCATTGAGTTGGAGGGGAGTGGAACTGGTAACTTCAAGTGTGGAGAGATGACAAAAAATAATATTTTTTTTGTACAAAGTCAAGGACGTGAAGTAGAAATTGAAATGTGTTTTTAACTAGAGGTACATACAGTATACCAGATAGTGTTGGTCCATAAGTGTATTAGCTCCACTACATTATACAAAGGGTTATTTGAAATGAGGCCAGAATTTAGGTGCAGAGGGTTAATTGATTCTTATAAATGTCTTGGGATTTCTGCAGTCCATCCACATTTTCTTAACATTAAGGGTCTTTTTCTTTTTTCTTTTTTTTTCCTTTTTTAATTAACATACCTGCCATGGTATGTTGTATAATCAATATTATTTATTGCTGAGATAGATTTCAATTATGAAACTTAGAATGTACTGTGAAGGAAGGCTAATTGATGATACTAACTTCTCAAAATAATTACATAGTCTGCAGAATCTTACCCTGTATTACACTGCGCGGCATTCATTACCTTCACAGCTGGTCTGCATAATATAATTATTTGTTACTCTTTGGTTACAGAAGAATGGAAACTGTGATTGCCATAACCATGGTGAAAACTCATTTTATTCTATTTTTTTCTTTCTATTACTAGTAGATAAAAACATCTTCCTTTTCCTTGATGTACACATACATTCTTTTTCCAGTTCTGTTATTTTGCTAGTGCAAAAGCAACATTTAAATATAGATCACTGCCCAAGCTTTCCTTTAATCTTCATGAGCAGGCAAAAAAAATCTTGCTTTTTTGCAGGAACACAAGCCTGATCATGAGGCCAGTATATGTTTTATGACCTACACTAAAAAAAAAAACCAAAACAAAGCAAACCAAACCCACAAAAAACCCCACAAGAAAACACAACATGAACAAACCAACCAACCCCACACTAAAACCAAACAAGCAACCCTCCTTCTCAGCAAGAAGGAGGGTTCTTTCTTTCCCACATGACAGAAAAATATTACTGTAGTGCAGAAACTGCAGCTTTTGCAGTGATTACCTTTTAATTTTTTTAAGTATGTGATTTTAAAAAAGGTAGAGGTTTGCAACAATCTTTCCACA